TTCTATCATCTTGCACATCAGGTGCCTGAGTAAAAGTCTTAAAAACATGATACCATGTCTACAAGTTGTAAAAATACCTTGGAGAAACTCAAGCAATGACACTGTTAGCGAACACAGAACAAACCACCTAATGATAAAACTTGTGTCACCAATTCATCTGTGCGTAAACCGATTAGACTGACCAATAAATAAGGAAGTGGCACTGTAAATATCTAAATAAAACAAATCGGCGGGCCATCATGTACCTTCCAAGCTACATCAGTAAATGAGTGTTCCGATCTGTGATATTAACACTTCTAATCAGTTTTTCCAAGCGTTGCCCAATCTTCGTAGTAAGGACGATGATGTGGGGAGGCCAAAGGGTTATGATACACCGCCTACATTTGATATCGCATAAATTACACACCCTTCATAAAAAAAAGGCTTCTTTTATGCATGTTACATCCAAAGGTTTATAAAGAATCAGTTTTATAATGCCAGCACAAAGAAAAAGATGGTAAATTCTTCGTTTTTTAGTGGAAGTGCTCTTATAGCTGTTCCAGCTAATTTTTCGGACACAACAAATACAAATATAGCAAAACAGGATTAAAAAACCCAACAAGAACAACAACAACAAATTTTATTGAAAATTGGAAAATAACTAATTACATTACTTTCCCACCCGCAAATAGCTTATAAACTAATCGAGGCAGGGCGAGCTGAAGACATATTACAAAACAAGATTTATATGTAGATGGACTAAATAACAGTGAAGACACTACTATATAGTAAACAGAATATTTTGACTCCACTGCACAACATCAACAGGTAAAACGTAATGGCAAATAAGTTTATTTTGGGACGGCTTGGCGAGAACCAACCCTACAAAGTACTTATGTAAATACAATAAAAGGTGATTACTGGTGAATACCTAATGTACAACACTCGTAAACTAGCTTTCACAAAAAGAAAAAACTCGTGCTACAAATGGTCACTCTTGACCTGAATCACCCAGTTAAGCACGCAGGCTTAGTGCCAGTTAGGCTGCCAGTTATTCTGGGGAAACTAATTAATAAAACTCTGACAACATATAGAAGTACCGTTATCTACAGCAGCAGATAAAAAAAATGATAAAATATGATACCATGTCTACAAGCTGTAAAAATACCTTGGAGAAACTAAGCAATGACACTGTTAGCGAACACAGAACATACCACCTAATGATAAAACTTGTGTCACCAATTCACCTGTGCGTAAAACAACTAGAGTGACCAATAAATAAGGAAGTGGCACTGTAAATATCTAAATAAAACAAATCGGCGGGCGATCAAGTACCTTCCAAGCTACATCAGTAAATGAGTGTTCCGATCTGTGATATTAACACTTCTAATCAGTTTTTCCAAGCGTTGCCCAATCTTCGTAGTAAGGACGATGATGTGGTGAGGCCAAAGGGTTATGATACACCTCCTACATTTGATATCGCATAAATTACACACCCTTCGATAAAAAAAATGCTTCTTTTATGCATGTCACATCCAAAGTTTTATGAAAAGATGGTAAATTCTTCGTTTTTTAGTGGAAGTGCTCTTAGCTGTTCCAGCCACTTTGCACGTATTCTATCAAATGTTTCGCATACAAAAAATACAAATATAGCAAAACAGGATTGAAAAACCTAACTGACAGGAGGCAACCAGTTGGCGACTTACAAGCTCGACTGATGATCTGAACACGGGGCGACCGAGAAACAAATCCAGCTAGTGGTCAGAGCGGGACCACTAACTGGGACCACCCTGACCACTGACCACTCAGCCACGTAACCCCTTAACCCAATAGGGAAGAATGTTATGTCGATCTTGCAGATGGACTTGATTTCTGTTGGCGCGAACCACTCGTTTCGGCCATCGTGATGTAGGATTACCTTGGAGTCAAAGTTGTACATTTCTCTCCCGACGCCGTTTATGCTGAAATAACGCGAAACCGTTAAACAAAATATAGCGAAGAGAATAAAGAGTAGTTAAGTACAATATTCCGTTTGGCCACTACTAGCATTCATCAGCTATAAATCAAAATTAACACCAGAGCTGCCCTCTAACCGTGCACCGCACCTCAAACTGGGCACCCAGTATTTCAAAGTTGCAAGACTTTGGGCATCCTGTGGATTTTCAAAGGAGCGAAGGCTTAAACAAAAGCAAGTGCTTATGAAATATAAGATGTGAAACGCCTTTTTAAAGTTTAAGGCTTGGACAGATGCCACAACATGGGCTGCAATATTGCTCACAAAATTGTTCACTCAAGAAAGCCAATACGCTTTAACATGTCGTGCACTCTACATGCAACATTTGCTGAGCAGATGCGACAAAATTGTAAAAACAGCCAACACCTTTTTAACTGATAATGAGATGGACCGCATCAAACCCAAACTTAGCATGTCTAGTGTCGTCAGTACACTCTCGTGAAAACTACGTGTCTTTCAGTTTCGTGCAATACTGTTTAGGAAACTTCACAAAGCATGGGCTGTAATTAAAGGTGATGCAGGTTTTCTAGTCTTTAAGCCTATTCATCTGCTTTGGAAACACTTTATACCGGGTCGTTCTACCACCACATCAAATTTTGCAGAATAATGTTTATATATGCACAACATTTCCACCCCGATGGTTTGTGTAAATGGTAAGCGCCTTTTAACTTTGGACCATATCATTTGGGCGATTTTCAATATGTAATTTTTAATTACATATTCTGATCAATATTGTACCCTGTCCTCTTCTCGAGAACATAAAGAAGAAACAATCACAAAAAGGAGCGTTCGTAAGACAAAAGTTAGTCGAAAAGATCGTGCTTACTTGCAAACCGCAGAATACTATAATAATTATTTTACTCCGCTACTCGCTACACGCCTGAAATTCGGGTACTATACGGGCACACAAACGTTATATGTTGGGCATATAGAAATGTTGACTTTATCATCTGCTATGTGATAAAAAGAAGCTAGAACATAGCCCGTATTACGTTTTCACAAACGTGAAGCCCCTCTGCAAGCAGGTTAAAAGGCAGAAAAGAAAGTACTGAAAAAGGTGGTACGTGACAGTAGAATTACCGTCGACGTGTCACTGGTCATACTCTCTTTTTGAAATTTTAAAGTGACTCAGCACAACTTCAGCTAAGGCTTGAAAGCCCCAAAACCACAGGAATATACAGTTGCAAGAACTCTACAGTATATGGCCAAATAATTCACGTATTAAATATTTAAACGAACCTCAAATATTTCCGTCAGATTTGGCCAGCAAACTATCTCTATAACAAACAGGTCAACAGCTTTGCGACGGGGGCCTTCCAGAAGCACAAAACGGCATGAAATGCAGTGTAAAATTTGAGCCATGAGACGAAGCATAACCGTTTTAACAAAACGTGCCTCTTTGGCACCGCAGAGCACTGAGCTCCTTTCAATTTTTTTCTCAGAGACCAGCCTTGCAACACCTTTGATGAATGGCGTTTTTTACTAAATTACGTAATTTTGTGTTAAGGCACCCGCATTCATACGAGAGAGTTTGGTGTTTCTTAAGAGGACGCCCGGCCTCAGTTACACTTCAATAGAAACCTTGACTGTTCGTGCAAGAGGTGGTCACTAATTAAGCAGTGTAAAATAGGGCACGGTTTTCTGCCCTCCAATATCGCTTTCTATATAGGCGAGCTGGCTATTGAAACTTGCCCGCAATCAATTAAGCCTTTGCCATTAACATTCTGACCTTGACATTGCTACAGGTCACTTTGTCACGCCTGGCCAGTCTGCATTAAGCACGCGTCCAGTTCCCTTTGTAGGCATTAGTATTGAACCTAGAAAAGGTCAGGGTGAGGCGTTCCTTTTGGCAGTCGTACATGACGATGGAAGCGATCAGTTTAGCAATCAATCCTTGGGTGCTTTTTGCCTTTACCGTTGCCTTTCTCTGGTATCTAATATTTCGACGGCAAAAGCGAGTGAATTATCCACCAGCACCATGGGGTTTACCCATCGTCGGAAATTTGCCTCATCTTGGCTCCTCACCGCACATAGCATTGACCAAATTGAGCAAGGTCTACGGTGATGTGTTTTCCGTGAGGTTTGGTTCGAGAGACGCTGTCGTTTTGAACAGTGAGAAAGTAGTCAGAGAGGCGTTGTTGCAACGTCATCGACATTTTTCCAACCGACCTTCACTTTTCATGATGAATGTACTTGGTGTTCAGAAATTCAGCATTGCTTTTGGAGAATATTGCCCTATTCAGGTTCAGAGAAAAAGGTGCGCCTTGAGAGCAATCCACGAAACTGTCTTTAGCGACCTGGATCATTTCAACAAAATTGTTCAAGATGAGATTAAAGATTTTGAAAAGGAGCTATTCCAGAAAGGAACCGAAATCTTTCAACCATCCGTTCAACTGAAGATGGCTGTTAGCAAAATAATGTTTAAGTTTACCTTTGGAGAGGATCCTCGTGACCACTTGTTGTCGAAAGAACTGGAAAGAATTGCTGTCGAGTCAACAGAGTTTACAGAGAGCAGTGCTGCTGGCGCTCTTGTAGATTTTATCCCCTCGTTGAAGCCTTTTCTTCGCAAGCAGATCGCAGTAGCCGAACACTCGGTGGAAGAATTGATCAACTTCGTCCACAAGGTTTATACCACCCGTAAACATCTCCTAAAGAGTGATTCTTGCATTGCCTTGTGCATTAGGAAACTTTTGGAAAACTTACTAAAGAAATATAGTGGAGAGCCGAAAATGTATTCAAACACGCTTAACGAGCAGAGCTACCCATTACCTCAAAGCAAGTCGTGTAATATAAGCGACGAAGAAATGGCCAAACTGGAGCTGGGCTGGAAACGGTTGGCAACGCTTTGTGTTGGGCAATGGGCTTTATAGTAAACAATCAGGAAGTTCAACAAGACCTTCATCAAGAGTTGGACAGAACTGTAGGGCGACACCGTCTTCCGAACATACAAGATAAGCCAAATATGCCTCTTCTTCAAGCAACTGTACTGGAGGTACTTCGCATTTCGTCCGTGCTACCCATTTGCTTTGCCTCATGAAACTTCTGAAGATACAACCCTTGGCAGCTATCCAATCCCAAAGGGGACCCTCGTCGTTGTTAACCTATGGGCAGTGAATCATGACCCTCGCGTCTTTGACAATCCGCACGAGTTCAATCCTTATCGATTCCTGGATGGAAATGGAGCTCTCTGCGAGAAAAAGAGCAGGCTGCAAATACCTTTTTCAATTGGCAGCCGACGTTGTAAGGGAAGCACGCTTGCTAAAGCTGAAATATTTCTGCTTCTAGCTTGCCTCTTGCATAAGTATCAGTTTTCAAGCCCAAATGGAAGCAACATTGACTTAAAAGGCTGTTTTGGATTCACTTGGAGTCCAAACCCCTTCAGTATTCGTATGCGCATCCGTTAGAAAAGTAATCAGTCCAAGACCATATCTTCAAGAATGGAAGAAATCACTCAGAGAACACTTACTGCCCTGTAAGGGGTAGTTCGTCTGCACTCACTGAAATAAAACCGTGGGTTTGTCTGACAATTTCCAAGGTTGTCAGGTTCTAAATGGTGTACTCACTGTTTACTGATTGTCATAACACTGCATTGGCCAAGATAACCAAAACCTTCGTTTAGGTGGATTTGGAAAATCACGCAAATAAACAAACAAACTAACAAATAAAGATTTCTCATACGTACTGAATTGACAATAGGCTAGCCTAAGAAGTTTGGAGGAACTAAAATCAATGGATACGTTTTTAAACTATATAATTATGTTCTTAGCAGTAATGACTTCACGATTCACAAAAAAGTATCCCAGGAAGTTTCATAACTTGCCGGGAAGAAATCCTCAATTTGTGGGAAGAACTATTTCAATGAATTCTACGTGTTCTGTTTTGGGAATAGCCAGTTTTTTATCCAGCTCCTTTTCCACTTGACACTTCAGACTCTTTTGGCCCGGGGGTTTGGTCACGATAAGCGGTTTAGTAAAACCACCTCACTACAAGAGGTAGATAAACCACTGGCGGTAGCATCAAACGCTTAACTTGTTGTTTTCTGCCAAATTTGTTTCAAAGTGATTGTAATTCGCATCGGTCAAGGTAATTCTGCTTGCTTTTTTGTTTCTGCTCTTGCTTCTAACATTCACTTTCCACTTTAGTCAAAGAGTAAATGAGATAAAAATGAAAACATATTCAAAACAAGGGTAGCATCACAAAAATAAAGTTGTCGGTCGTGTTCAAAATATACGATAAACTGAGTCTAAAATTCCCATACAAACGGAAAACTTCAAGGCTTTACGAACATTTAAGAACTTTGATCAGGTTATATTTAGCAAGGAGACTGCTAAAATAGCAAGCAAACATCAAGGATGAAAACAACGTTGCTGCGGTCCATATCGAGAGTAGCCTGCATTGCAGGCGTATTTTGGGTGGGCGAAACCTTGTTCGTGTTCGTAATATTGTTGTAGCCGCCATCTTTGAATTTATGACAGTGGAAGATTGGGGAGAGTAGAAGTAGTAACCCTTACGGTAGGAGCTAGGGCGAAAGAAGGAAAGGGGGAAGGGGGAGGGGAGAAAAAAAAAAAGACACCCCCTCCCCGCTCCCTTTGACTCGCCCTATCTCCTCCTCTCTTCGGGAAGTTTCAACATCGCGCTTTCGCGAGCAAATTGCACGCTCAAAGAAAACGCCTGCACTGCAGGCTATATCGAGAGCTAGCTCCTTGACCTTGCACAGTCCTTTGTTATTTTTGTTCTTGTGACTAAATTAATGGGACGCTTCCATTGGTCAGTTTAAAATGATAGGGATGTCAGTGAACGTTGTGCGTGGCTAAGTCCCGCATAGGCCGCAAAACAGCCAACAAAAACTTATAGCCAGATCGGGAATTTCAAGTTTGCGTAAAAGTTCAGGGTGGAGACACAAATTAAATCCATTTCATAAAAAAAAACATGATGACAAAAAGGGCTTCCCAAGTTTGGCGACTTTTGGTTAGAGAGTGATAGAGGGCCTTAGAACTAACTCAAAAACCATAGAATGTCTATTATCCTGAGACAACGTCTCTACATCCCCGAAAGATCTTAAAATTCTCATCAGTTTTGTTAAACACTAAATCGTTCTTTTTATGACTCCCATCCATTGTACTCACTAAACTTGCCAGTTTGCAAGCGTATTGCCAAAGTAAGAAAATTTACGATACTTAATGGTTTTGGAGGTCAGAGACTTCGCGAGAAGTTATTAGGAATGTCACAGGGAGCCCGAACGCTGTATTATCTAATAGAAAAAATTAGATGTTTTTACGCTGTATTAGCTAATAAAATAATAAGATGCATTTACCTTTGTTCCTGTGTCTTTATGAGTCGTTTTGGAAGGGGTATGACACTTATTTACTTTAACATACTTCCGACTTGCACACTCACAGCAACTTTGTCTGCTGAAGAACGACTTCCGGTTCCAGTTCGCTACAAAAACTAGACTTGGCAAAATGTCCCATCTTATCGTGGTATTTCAGACGACTTAACTTGCCACTCGATCCAGACCACCGTGAATCATAGACCGTCAGCTGCATTTCCATAGTAATTACTAGCCGCAAGCAGAGCGGCCCTCATCTTCATATATTTTATTTATTAACTTCCAACAAGCTGCTACTTTTGAAATTAATAACGGTCACGTACTATAACACTTCAACGGTTACAACCTGAAAACAACGTACTTTGCGCTGTCACTGTAAGAACACAGATGTTAAAAGTATTATAGAGTATCCTCCAAAATATTTGGAAATTTAAGAAACCAGCGCAAAAAAGTTAGGGTTAAAGAAACTAATTGAGTAACACTTGTCATGTTTATCTTTTCTTCCCGTTGTCCTTTTAAATTTCTTTTCTTTTCTTTTTTTTGAAAAGGGAAGATCAACTGTGGGAATCAAAGTTGTCAATTTTGCGCCATCTGATATTGCATCGGGCTGTTTTAGTAGTTGGAACTGCTCCTTTACGAATTTTCATAAAATTTCAGTGCCAGAGATTTTAAATATACATATTTGTTTACATTCTACAATTTCCCATCATTGTACAAAATTTTCTGTTGGTAAGATAACAGACAAAGAAAGACTTGCCAAATTAACAAGTGACGAGCACCTTTTCTATAAAGTATTGCCAGATATTTGCTGAAAGACATTTTCTCCAACAAAGTTTAAAATATGCAAATTTTCATTCACATATAGGAGGAGACTGTCTTATCGTTCGTGGAGTTATTTAAGAGCTTGAAACTGTTACCTCAATGTAATTTTAATAAACCTCAATAGTGCATACGTTATTGTACATTTGGAAAATTGGCTTCAGAAGGGGCTGAGGGGCTGGCGTGAGGACGTGCAGGAATAGTAGTTACCCAAAAGCCATATTTGTTTTCACTCTTTCATGGCGATTTTATGGACGTTAAATAATTAATAGCAATGAACTGTAGTTTTGTTCCCTGTTTATAGTCTTTTGTTTGGAAAATTGATAAAAGGCTTCAAAATTGCATGCTTGATACGACAGGTCCATGAATAATTGAAAGAAACCACAATTGCTTCCACATTTTGGAGACGTTTTATTGAGCATTAAATAATTAAAGCGTACGCTAATTTTAAGGGATAAAGAATTAATTGTTACTAACAATTATTAATAAGTGACAAGGCAAAATTTCTAATTTGTACTGAGACAAATTACCAGTAGTATACTTGTTAACTACCCTTCCAACCGTTAAGGTAAACAACAGCTGAAGCATTTTCAACGTTCTTTCTATTGCTTTTTTAATGTTTTTCTTTAATACCATGTCTACGAAGGAGGCAGTAGGATGATATTCATAATTCTTACCACCGTTTTGCAGGTATTTGCTTTTATTAAATGACAGCTAACATAGTAAAAAAAGGGGGCCGTGGTATGTTTTTTAGTGTCATGTTTCTCCTTAAAAAAACGCTAGACTCATAAACATAGAACGAATGTAAGAAGTTGAATCCCTAATTCAAGACGTCTTTGAGACAAAAGATCATTAAGGCAAAGTCAGTATGTAAATATGGCAGTTGATGAGATAAGTAAGCGAGAAAATTTACCCATAGGCATTATGATTCGCTTTGGAGAGAGAGTAAGGACAGAACAATTCGCTTTTCGTACGGTCTTGTTTGTTTTTTTTTCTTTCTTTCTTTCCTTCATTTTATGCACTTATTTATTATTGATTTACAAAGCGAATTCTGTCAAATTTTCTTGTAAGGGAAGGTCAAAGAATGTTTTTTACAACCAAGGTAAATGAGAAATTGAGAAGGAACTCGAGAAAATTGTTCATAATTCGTTTTAACGTGACAGCCAAAACTTCAGCCGATTTTTCTCATAAACGTTGTAATATAAAAAGTTCAAAACCCAGCAGCTCAAAAAAAGTATGATTCAGAGCTACAAGTGCAATCAACAACTTTGAAAACGCACATCTGGATTTTACCGAAACGAAATGAAAGCCTGAAAAAAACAATGGCGTCAGCATGTTGCTTTGGGAATGTCGATTTTCAAAATACTCACTAAACGTAGAAAACTTCAAATTGTATCCTACAAAAATGAACGGCTCGATTTCCGACTTTGCTTAATTCATTTTTATATTTCGTATTCAAAGTGGGATGGATTATGGTCTGTTTTCACAACGCAAGCCTTCTCGCAGTTCGCATTTACATACGTGACCAGGTGCGCGGTCATGGAATGGAAACAGGAGAAAACATAGGGATCTAGGAAGAGTAGTGTGAAGGTTTAGTTACTGAAAACCGGGTCGAACCCTCTAATACATTAAAAAAAAAACATTCAATTTGAACGTTATCCTTTTTCTCGGTTAATTCGTATATTTTTGAGCGAACAAATATGCCAACAACGAAGTCCGTACCGTCGTTCTAATCAAACATGGCGGATCCAATATGGCCGCAATTTGAACATCGCGACGTGATTTCCTTGTCATTTGACATTCTTCAGATTTTCAACAGAAGAGCTCGTTCTATCATCTTGCACATCAGGTGCGTGAGTAAAAGTCTTAAAAACATGATACCATGTCTACAAGTTGTAAAAATACCTTGGAGAAACTAATCAATGACACTGTTAGGGAACACAGAACATACCGCCTAATGATAAAACTTGTGTCACCAATTCACCTGTACGTAGACCGACTAGAGTGACCAATAAATAAAGAGGTGGCACTGTAAATGTCTAAATAAAACAAATCGGCGGGCCATCATGTACCTTCCAAGCTACATCTAAGCGTCGGTTTAACCAGTAAATGAGTGTTCCGATCTGTGATATTAACACTTCTAATCCGTTTTTCCAAGCGTTGCCCAATCTTCTTAGTAAGGACGATGATGTGGTAAGGCCAAAGGGTTATGATACATCGCCTACATTTGATATCGCATAAATTACACACCCTCCGATAAAAAATGCTTCTTTCATGCATGTCACATCCAAAGTTTTATAAAGAATCAGTTTTATAGTACCAGCACAAAGGAAAAGATGGTAAATTCTTCGTTTTTTATAGGGAGTGCTCTCAGCTGTTCCAGCTAGTTTGCAGGAATTCCATCAAATTTTTACAAATATAAATATAGCAAAACAGGATTAAAAAACCCAACTGATAGGAGGCAACCAGTTGGCGACTTACAAGCTCGACCGATGATCTGAACACGGGGCGACCGAGAAACAAATCCAGCTAGTGGTCAGAACGGGACCACTAACCGGGACCACCCGATTTTGAGTCCGACACACTGACCACTCAGCCACGTTATCCCCTCCCCCCACCCCCCCCCAATCCGAGTCAGCATTTCATCGAAGAAAGAGCAGCTTTTACTGATGACGTTTGACCTTTGCATCACAATACCTAGCCTGCACAATTCAGAACTGGAGCAAGTGGTGATGAGTATTGAACAAGACTGTACAATGGTTGGTGTGATTCTCTAGGTGATCACCTTTTGTCCTTAGTATCTTGGAATCATAAAATAAAAAGTGATAACAGAGAGACAAATTGTCACACCCGATAGGATGAGGAAAAACCGGTCAATAACAGACGCAGCAAAATGCCACTTGTCCTTGTTCCCTGCCATGTTCTCCTGTTCGACAACCCTTCCATAGATATCGCTAATTTTGTGGGTAATTTCTTCCAGTCGTTTATCCAAAGGATTCCTCAATTCACAGCACTTTTTTACCTCCATCTGGCTGCCGCTCAACGAAGTATGTCCACCTCCTTTGCAGATTAATAATTTATTTAAAAACGTCGAACCCTTGGACCGGCGTTTCGATCTGATAGTTTCTCGATTTTCGGATGACTTGACGTTCAGTTTCATTCGCAACACCCTTGCAAGACAGCCAAATACAAAGAAATCAACCCAAGCGGGAATTTCTTCTTCCGGGTCACTGAAATAAAATCGAAGGGTGACCGATGTTCCGATCAGGCAGACGGCTACTTCAAACAAAATGGCGATGAAGAATTTGCTTATCAAAGGTGTGACCTCTGATGTTTGAGGAGTGTTCTCAGTGAAAATCAACATATAAACGGTAAGTCCAAGAAGTAACGTGATGACCAAAGCAATTCTCTCCCCAGAACCAGGCGGCAGAGAGAACGAAAACACTGACAGAGTAGCCAGTAATATACAAGGTAGAATCAAGTTTTGAACGTAAAACAAAGGCCGACGACGAATGTGTACGGTAAATGTTATGTGGACGAAAGGATGCTGGCAACAACTGTACTTAACTGTATTTTTCGTGGCGTTTACGGAGACTAAGGTCCATTGGCCATTACGGGTGTACTTTTGCAGGTCAGCAGTGTTGTTCTTAAGCGCAAGATCCAAGTGTTGACTGTTGTAGGTCCAAGAGCCAAAAGTTAAAAAGCACGTTTGTTCATCAAAAGGGAAGAATGTTATGTCGATCTTGCAGATGGACTTGATTTCTGTTGGCGCGAACCACTCGTTTCGGCCATCGTGATGTAGGATTACCTTGGTGTCAAAGTTGTACATTTCTCTCCCGACGCCGTTTATGCTGAAATAACGCGAAACTGTTAGACAAAATATAGCGAAGAGAATAAAGAGTAGTTAAGTACAATATTCCGTTTGGCCACTACTAGCATTCATCAGCTATAAATCAAAATTAACACCAGAGCTGCCCTCTAACCGTGCACCGCACCTCTAACCGGGCACCCAGTATTTCAAAGTTGCAAGACTCTGGGCATCCTGTGGATTTTCAAAGGAGCGAAGGCTTGAACAAACGCAAGTACTTATGAAATGTAAGATGTGAAACGCCATTTATAGTTTAAGGCTTGGACAGATGCCACAACATGGGCTGCAATATTGCTCACAAAATTGTTCACTCAAGAAAGCCATAATTTCTCCTAACGATATCCATACAATATCAAGAGATTAGGTTATGAGAATTAATTAAATGATCACCAAAGAGAAAATGCTTTGATCTTTTCTCAAATTCTCTCAACTTATTCTTTAAAGAAATGTATAGAGATCAGTTTGGAGAATTTGTTTGTGGATATTGGGGCTTAAAGGGTTAACTGGTATCGAGATGGACCGCATCAAACCCAAACTTAGCCTGTCCAGTGTCGTCAGTACACTCTCATGAAAACTACGTGTTTTCAGTTTCGTGCAATTCTGTTTGGGGAGCTTCACAAGACATGGCATGGGCTGTAATTTAAGGCGATGCAGTTTTTCTAGTCTTTTAAGCCTATTCATCTGCTTTGGATACACTTTATACCGAGTCGTTCTACCACCACATCAAATTTTACAGATTAACGGTTTATATATGCACAACATTTCCACCCGGATGGTTTGTGTAAATGGTAAGCGCCTTTGAACTTTGGATATCATTTGGGCGATTTTCAATATGTAATTGTTAATCACACATACTGATCAATATTGTGACCCTGTCCTCTTCGCTCCCACTGAGTTCAGCACCGTTACTCCTTCAGGGCAAAATTCCGGGGCACTAAAACAGCCCATTTTAAGACTTCCTGTTCCTAAGCTGGCGTCGAAATAACAATCTCTCTCCTAAACTTCAGTTTATTCAGCACTTGGAAGCTCTAAGCGAAGGTCAAACCCGTCTTATCCAGTAAGATATACCCTGTAATTTATTTTAAAATGTTTATTTTACTAACCGCTTCTATCATGGGAAATTTCGGTAAACTATCCTATACAAGTGTTAAACTAATTTAAAATTTTATAAATATTAATATTTACGATATACAATAGCACTTTTAGCTAGTTACACACTTTTTGACTTTTTTAAAATTGGAAGTTATTATTTCTCGATACAACTACGTCATGCGAGTATTATTTGCAGAGTAGGCGTTCTAAGCTTACATAAGCTTTAATTAAAAATCCGATACTTGGGGAGACAGCGAGACTCTTTTTTAACTTGCTGTGATCCAAAACTTATCTTCTTATCAAATCCAAGACCAAGACGTGACGTTCACTGAGAAGACTTCGATTTCGGTTTTAACTCTCTCGTTGTGGACATGTACATGATTTTTATGATCCGCGTTACTTTTTCCGGCAATCTATTGTTACAATTGTGGGGTATATAAGAATTGCTCAATTGCATCGTATCGGCGAAGGCTCAAACGATATGTTAATTTAAAGTTCTCGTAAGAACTTTTGCGTACGTCCATGTATGCATTTCACGCATTTTTTTTAATACACGAAAAAGGAAGAAAAAGAAAGAAAAACTACAAGACGGTAGCTTTGATGCACGGTCATGAAATAACGGACATGCATAGCGTTAATCTAATTTTTTCTTGAACGATTTTTTTTAACAGTCCTTACAGCCGTAAGTAATTGCGTTGCAACATTCTAATCGCTCAACAGGGACTTATATTCCCCCAGCATGCGCTCAGAAGACGGCGTTCGCAGAACGTAGATTCACGTGGCCTAGGTCAAAAGTTAGATAGAGTTGACCACGGATAAATCAAACCACATCTTTAAGGTTTCTTCGCTAGATAAAGACTCTATTGTAGGATAATAGTTGTTGGGCATCCATCTCTAAAATAAGGCCAGGTGGACAATTTTAGAATTAGAAAAAAACGAAATGAGTCAAGAAATAAACCAAAATTAACAATAATCGATGTTATAATGAGGAGAGACACTTTGTCCTAAAGGACATCTCCAATATTGTGTTCCTTTGACCGTATTCCGAGCAAAAGTTTTGTCACAAGTCTATTCTGACGGGAAATTTGGACCACTTGAACTTTCCAGGCATCTTGAAGTGTTATTTCAAGTAGACGTTTAGATGTTGTAATGCAGTGAATGCCAAAACAAGTGATTTCTAGACTTAATTCCATAATTTCTTACTCCTTAATAGGTACAATTAATGGCTTTTTCTTCTCCACTTCCACTACAAAATGTTGCTAAGTTGACGGTATCAACATTGGAGTTGTAGGGGTAGGTATTGCTTTCATTGTCGGTTCTCTGAAGTAATTTCCTCAAATGGGATAAACCAAATTAAATCAAAAGTAGGAACGGAAAGAAAGTAGCGATGAACCAAAGAATGCATTTTTGCTGTTCACTTTGCACATCTGAAAATCCACTGTGTTATTTGTTCCATTTGTTCCTAAATAGAACTAACGAAAATAACAGCTGTCCAAATCGCTTAAGGAGCGCCATTACTATTTGAAAAATGAAGCAAAATGTCATGGACTAACTCCTTAAGAAAAATCCAATTTGGCGACTATGTAATAAATATTTGTTTTCAAAAAAGTTATGATATTAAATAAGGTGAGATAGGAATTCTTGGCCTTTTTTGTTTAAGGCCGAATTCGGGCACGGCAGAAAAGAAATTGAATGGAAAAAAGGGAATTAATGTTGACGAAAAAGCCCGGAATATAATCATCATTGCAACGTTTTTTACCAATATTTGAATTTTCAAAAGAGTGACTCAAATATATTTTTTTTAGTGCATGTGAGTACTCCAAAAGCACTTACTTTCGCCAAAGCTGTCTTGTATGCACCTAGCATTCATTCAGTTCAATAATACACCTTTATTTATTACTTCAGTCCTTGAGAAAGTGTGCAAATAACACCCCTGTGTAATACCAACGCCATAAAACATGAATAAATGTGAATAAAACTGATCACTCGACAGTTCGCTTGTGTTGACAGTTTAACACATATAGTCTTCTGCTGGTTTAGGCTAGATTATGTCCGCGATAATGAGTCATTTCAGTCAAGTTGCGTGGCTCAGTGTTGTGCTCGAAAGGCTCTATGGGACTATCTTTGCGGATGAAATTTTCCCCAGTTTCCTGCGCGACATTGCAACAGCCAATGAAAAACCAGGGCAGTCCCATGGTGCAATTCGACACAACATCGTCCCAGTCTTACGCTCAACCTCAAAAATGAACGATAACAATTGCCTGGTTACTGTGCGCCCGCAGACCTAAACCGGGCGCAGCTGTATTGTTCTTTGAAGAAGTTTTAGTTTATTGATTGCGACATAGGAAAACGACCGGTAAAAATGAGTTAGTTGAAAACAATGATGGAGGGAAAAAAGATCCGTTTAGCTGGTTAAAGTTCATTTGTGAGTAATGCTTTTTAACTGGTTGTGTCCTGACAAATTTGAACAACACTTTTATGAGGGGTATTAGCCGGTATTGGTAGAAAATTACAGCTATTTAAGCTTTTGATAAACCCATTTGGATGCAAGCAGTCAGTACTAATTAAAAGAGTTCGTGATTTTGTCATACAAAAAAATCTGAGCTAGGGAGAAATGTAACACCTTTAATAGTTTCACTTATCCTGCAAGACTAATAAAATATAGGAGTTATTGTCTGTGTCCAGAAATGGTCAAAAAGAGCGCAAATCTATCGGTGTATAAACTAGCAGTAATTTTCGCTACATAAATGCGAAATATGCAATGACGTCACCGCTTTACAGTCAGTGCACTGCATAGGGAAAATCCCAAAACCTTGATGAGCTTTACGGTAATTGAAGATCAACAACGGATGCAGCCCACGGCTAGGAATAACCAGTTGCAGAAGGAAAAGTCTCGATCATTTTCATTATTTCTATATTGTTTTGGCGCTTTAAGAGGAGACGGGCTGAAAACCAGTTGTACTGTTTTCGTATAAATCGCGAAATATTACCGGAGCATAAAATTCTGGGTTAATAATCACATTTGCCGAATGTCTAGCTAGCCCTATTCTGTGTCTATAACGAAGTTTTTTTTTATCGTAAGAGACTCTGAAACTGAAAGGCGGGTGGTGAAGATACCATATTAAGAAAGTTTAAAAAGACCTTTTTATGAGGAAACCTCGAATTTTTGCAACATTAGACTCATATTCCACTCGTCGATGTCTTCTACCCTTTTTCAATGATGTAATTTTTGAATAACACTATCCAAAATCTGTGGTTAGTATTTTCAGAACATGTTTTAGTTCCCTGGTTCGAAAATACATTAATTATTTACTCTGCCGAAGAAAATTCACAAGCAATTGAGCTTTCATCGAAGGTTTTAGCTCCACTTCATTTGCTGAAACAGAATAAACCTTGAAGATTAGAGGAAGAAAGAACAAGTTTACATGAAAGATTTTAAAGCCTGTCGATAAACTCACAATTTGTGGTTTTATCCAGTCTTAAAACACTCACCTGCGCTAAATGTTTTTAAAACTTCACACACAGTCTTTCTCTTTTTTATTAGAGCAAGGAAAACATAGCTTTGAGGAAAGATGTACGCCTTTTATTTATTGGTCATGATAATCTCATGTCTTCCCAGTTGGTTATCTTAAATTGACTGAAACTATTAATAAAATATTTCGCCCATCTTGTTTATGAAGACGAAATGGAAACATTTCGCTTTGCTAGCAGGACGTCTGAGAAATGATCAGGGGCACCCAACGGGAAACTTTGAGAAAAAGACCTAAAAACAACAACAAAGCATGAATAAAGCTTTTTAAAGCCATTTTAAGCATTTTGGAAGATTGCTGGGAAAAATTTATCTGTTCCTCACTCCCAGCAAGACTGATGGAAGATGACGCAATTCTAGATATCAAATCCCCTCAGACACCCTGAATTGACTTTTTCCCAGCAACACTTTCCTTCCAAGGACATATTATTCCTCCCAAATCTCCCAGCCCGCAAAAATTTGCTTGAAGAGATATTTTGAGGAGCAGATCTATTGGGTGCCCCTGAATGATTATATTTGGTACTTTAGCATGAATGATTGAAATACACAACAGTTTTTTTATGTTTCAAATAGACTAATATCTATCTGAAGGTAATGTGCTAAGTAATGTTTTGGGATTTGGTATAAACCATCAACCTTCTTCCTGATAGTTTCAATGGCATGTTTTTATTTAACTGTGACGTACTGTAAATTTTCACTTCGTTTTCAAGGGCCCAAAATATTTAATTTCCTTGGCTCTGGAATTCAGAATTCCTCTAATATTGAAGTAAAGTCATTTTTCTTGGTATAAGCATAGTTTACTTCTCTTAATGCTTGCGTGTACTTTTTCGCTTCTTTCGCTTTTTTTCTCGTATATTTGCATTTTTTTCACTTTTTCTTTTTCTTTTTGCCTTTGTTCGTTCCGCCTTATCTATTCTTATCCTATTTAATGATTATTTTCTATGTTGTAAAGAAATAACATGTGTTTAGTAAGATTGTCTTGCTTATGCAAATATTTTATTTAAGTAATTAAGTCATATATTTTAAAGGTGATCCCTTTCATAAGCCTTATTGGCTTCCATGGGCTCGCTTGCCTCATCTTTCTTAATTCTGTGTATATATTTAATGTAAATTTCAAAATGATAATGAAACAATAAAGCAAAACATAAACCACTTCATAAGCGATGTAAGACAACAAGAGCTGATTCGAATATTCATATGATGTATTTTATATTTCATGCTTGAAGTATGGGGTTGGAACTAAAAGTCTTACTTGTTATAAAGATGAAAATCAGGCTTCCACACAATCCTAGGACTGAGGTTGATTCCACAGCACTGACGATTGTCATAAACCACTTCATAAGTTATGCAAGACAACGAAGTTGATTGGAATACTCAAGTGATAAATATTGTATTTCATACTTGAAGAATGAGGTTCGATCTAAAAGTCTTACTTGTTAAAAAGAAGAATATCAGGCTTCCAAACAATCTTAGGACTGACGTTGATGACAGTGATTTCCTCGAACTCAGCAGGGTCCCACGATAGTCGGTGGTTGGTCCAAAACTAATGAACGACAAAAAAAGTACGTTTTAGAATACAATCATGTTATTCAACCTGATTTTTAAAAACTGCTGGGAAGGTAACATTCAGAGAAACCAAAAACTGTAAAAATTCAAAACTTTACACATTCTAAGTCACTATATCTCTCTGAAACATGAAATCAAGGACTTAGTCTCCTTGCTTCACAAAAGGAAATGGGTAACGTTTTTATGTCTTCTCTCTGGATCAGATTTAGACACAATTAATGCAAAAATACCTGCCTAACCCAAATATTACAGGTCATTATTTGGTCTTTGCTATCCTGCAACGAAAAAAAAACGATTAATTAGAAAAAAAGGAATACAGTTAAACGTTTGGCATTAAGTATTTGATAGTCGCTTGTTTGAAGTTTCTAACTTTAGAATGGGCAACACAAGCGCCCACAAACATAACATATGGGACAGTCAAGGCTGATAAATAATCATAACTGCATGCTTTTTTAACTACACCAGAATTTCAATGAGCATGAAGGTCCTGTTCACATGAAGGTGGGGTACCCCAGGTAGGTGAGGTAACCCGCTTAGGTGGGGTAACCCGCCAGTCCACATAATCTCTCATTTCAATTTGATCACGATTACATGTTATAGGTTGGGGTGACCCTCCACATGTTACCTCACCCATCTGGGGCACCCCACCTGCATGTAAACAGGCCCTAAGAGAGGGTTACATATTTATGATCCTCTAACAATCAAAAATTGAGAGATCCAGTTTAGGTCCCGTTTATTTGAGATAAGCTATCCCAATTAGCCGGGCGGTTCGGCTCATGCCGTATTTCCTCATAACATTGCCTTGTTAATATGAGAAGGCAGGATGGCCCGCTTGCAGTTTTGCAGTTTGAGCATCCGAGGTCTCGGCAGCGGGCCAGCCCACCCTCTTGCATAAACACACTGATAATTTTATGAGGAAAGAAGGTATGAGTCGAGACAACATGGTAAAGCGGTTCAGCACGGCTAGCCGAGCGCTCATATTAGACTTTCCGAAAAGTTTCCAAACCGAGGGACTAAAGTTGAAATGAACTAGGCTAAAGAATCATATTAATTGATCCACAGTCGCTTGAATATCGGTACACTCGGGTAATTCCAAAGATTTCAGTAACCTTGATCAAATCTGTAGGGGTTATTACGTAACACCCGCCACCACGTTATTAAGTCTTTTATTTTGCGCAAGCCCAGGGTTTGTTACAACGACAACACATATGCTGTGTTTGTATTTAACCCAAGGTTACTCGAACGACTCGGTCCGAGTAACGTAAATAAAAGTTTTACGAAAACAACAACACTTGAGATTAATGCAGGAATTCCAGTCACGTTGATTGCTGAACACAAGTTCAAGGTTCTGGTAATTTAACTGAAAAGTACTTTATAAATCATAAAAAATCGCGTGACCAGCCAAATGCACATTCCAGATCGTGATCGTGTGACTTATTATTCCTTAACGATCTAAAACATCACGCGATTTTCCATGCGTGAGGTCAAGATACCTGGATACTGGCCAAGTTCGTTTTTCTTTGATGGACGGAGAAGATTCAGTTGATAAGAACCTTATCTCTGTTACACAGTAGGACGGTGGTGTACACAAACAAGGTTACGAAAAAGAAATCTCTAGACAATACAAAGGCCTACGTATTTCCTGACTTATCTAGGGTCAGCTAAGTAAATCGTAAAAAGAAAGAAAAATAATCATTCTAAATGTATCGTTGAGGTAAAAGTAGTTGCGAAGGATGCGGCTTTCTAATCTTGGAGCTGTTTGACTCTACTGAACATCAGAAACATATGGTTCATTCGATTAGAGTGATTTCATTTGATCTCATTTATTAGGACATGACCTGTGCGGGAGGGCGGGGAGCTAACAACAGTATATTTTTTGCTCACTACAGAAGAAAGGCCAGCTGGCTCTAGGGAATATTTTGCAGACATATCTTCTGAATTTATAGACCCCCCTTCCATAAATGAAAGCCCACTCGCTTACAACATAAATGCTTACACAAGCATTTTCAAAGCCGGTTTTGCCTTCTCTTAAGAACGAAATTCGGCTTAAATGAAGTAAACATCAAAACAGGCCTCTAAGATAGAGTACAACCGGTCTATTGTACGTGTTATGAAGCAAGAGTGTAGCGTGATTGTGAGATGGCGTGATTTTATTCCTTTGATTTTGTTATTAATAGTTTCACTCGTCTGTCAGAGCGACAGAGAACTTGATGACAGATCGCATTAAAATCTAAAGCTTATAGATTCAAGAAAGTCACGATTTTGTGTAGTGTGTGAGCGAGCCATTGTAACGGGACGCTGAGAAAAATAGAATATAGAAGATGGAGGCCAAGCTTAGCGTAAAGCTACAGTTGCTTGAACTAACCAGAGGAAAAACTAAGGATGTTGCTGTTAGCGATAACTTGGAAAAGATTCGTCGACACAAAGAAGCCTTGCAGACTATAGTAGCTGGTGTTGAGGAGTTAAAGAGAGATATAGAGCAAGAAAAACTGGAAAAGGGAGAAACTGTGGACGAAGTAAAAGAGTGGGGAGAGGAAACCGAAGGTAAGATTGACATTGTGGACAATGACAAATTTCTTAGAGGCTCGTCTCAAAGAAATAATCACTCGTTCTGAAAACGAAAAACGGGAAACCAAGGAATATCATTTAGCTCGAGAACGTGAGGAGCAGCTAAAGTTTGAGCGGCTTCAGCTGGAACAAAAGGCAGAATNTTGTTATTAATAGTTTCACTCGTCTGTCAGAGCGACAGAGAACTTGATGACAGATCGCATTAAAATCTAAAGCTTATAGATTCAAGAAAGTCACGATTTTGTGTAGTGTGTGAGCGAGCCATTGTAACGGGACGCTGAGAAAAATAGAATATAGAAGATGGAGGCCAAGCTTAGCGTAAAGCTACAGTTGCTTGAACTAACCAGAGGAAAAACTAAGGATGTTGCTGTTAGCGATAACTTGGAAAAGATTCGTCGACACAAAGAAGCCTTGCAGACTATAGTAGCTGGTGTTGAGGAGTTAAAGAGAGATATAGAGCAAGAAAAACTGGAAAAGGGAGAAACTGTGGACGAAGTAAAAGAGTGGGGAGAGGAAACCGAAGGTAAGATTGACATTGTGGACAATGACAAATTTCTTAGAGGCTCGTCTCAAAGAAATAATCACTCGTTCTGAAAACGAAAAACGGGAAACCAAGGAATATCATTTAGCTCGAGAACGTGAGGAGCAGCTAAAGTTTGAGCGGCTTCAGCTGGAACAAAAGGCAGAATTCTCCAAAGCCCAAAACTCAACGACAGATTTGCCGCATAAACATAGCGTGAAATTACCAAAGCTCGTGATTGCCAAATACAATGGGGCTCTTGAAAATTGGTTGTCGTTTTGGAACAAATTTGAAGCAGAAATTGATAGCACCGATTTACCAGCAGTCACGAAATTTGCCTATCTCAAGGAGCTAGTAGAGCCACGCGTTCGTAAAGGAATAGATGGCCTTCCCTTCACTACAGAAGGATATGAGCGCGAAAAAAGTATTTTGAAGAGTAATTATGGGAAGATGAGCGAGATCGTGAACGCATATATTGAAAACACTCTTGCGCTTCCATTCATTTCCGGAACTCAACCGGCCAAAGTACACGACTTCTATGAAGCTTTGCTCTACAATGTTCAGTCGCTCGAAACATTAGGAAAAACCTCCGAATGCGTGGCATTGGTGCGTGGTATTTTGAATAAATTGCCTGGAATTAAAGCTGAATTAGTACAGGGTCACCCAGAATGGCAGTCGTGGAATTTCACGCAATTGCTTAACGCGCTTCGTGAATGGAAGGAAATCCATCTCCGAGAAAATGTGAAGTCACGCGATACCTTAAGAAGTTTTCATGTGGAGGAACGCAACGGAAATGCGACACGTGGTTGTGTTTACTGCCGTGGAGTATCTTACAAAGCTAAAGATTGTACCGCCATTACTAGCGTTGAAGATCGTAGGAAATGTCTGCAGGAGAAAAGGCTGTGCTTCAATTGTACTGGGCCACATAGAGTAACCAAATGTCGGAGCAGAGGAAACTGCGCGAATTGCAAGCAGAGGCACCACACCTCAATCTGCGACCGAAATAGCCAACTATCAAGTGAGGGGACAGCAATGACAGCCGCACACGTGGGGGAGAAAGTTTGCCATCCAGTCGTCGTTGTTAAAGTCAACGGAGTCAAATGCCGCGCATTGCTAGATACTGGCGCTACTGGAACCCTACATTTCAGCTTTGTTGGTGGATCTTTTGAAAGCTAAACCAGCTCTGACCCTTACGCGCGGTATCAAGACGATCATGGGCCTGGTTACCAAGCGCATTGAGACTTATGATGCTAACATCAGTGACACTCAAGGAAGGTTTTCGCTGCCAGTCTGCGCTACGAAGATTGAACAACGAGAACTTTTATCGCTAGAGAACCCTAACTATCCAGAAATGCTGAAACTTTATTCACATCTTAAGGGAGTGCAAATGGAAGAAACTGACACTAAGAAAATTGTCCCCATCCATGTTATACTTGGCGCTAATGAGTACACAATAATCAAGATGGCTGGTTATCAACGTGTAGGAGAAATTGGAGAGCCCATTGCTGAAGAAACCAGGTTCGGCTGGACAATAATGTTTTCTGGTGCTGAGGTGGATATTGAAAACATGTTCCTCACACAGACATCAGCCGCCGACTATGAAGAATTGTGCCGCTTGGATGTCCCTGGGTTGGAAAACACGCCCATTGGTGACCAGAGAGTCGTGCACCAGGAGTTCCATGAACAACTAAAACGCAGTCCAGAGGGGTGGTACGAAACAGCTCTCCCATGGAAAGGAAACCATCCCCCCTTGCCAGACAATAAGTTGGGTAGCCTCAAACGCCTTGCAACCCTTTTACTTCGACTTAAACGAAACGGCAGGTTAGAAGAGTATGACGCCATAATCCGTGAGCAGCTTGAAGAGGGGGTTGTAGAGGAAGTAGAAATTCCCGCTAAAGGAAAAGAATTTNCAATTGTACTGGGCCACATAGAGTAACCAAATGTCGGAGCAGAGGAAACTGCGCGAATTGCAAGCAGAGGCACCACACCTCAATCTGCGACCGAAATAGCCAACTATCAAGTGAGGGGACAGCAATGACAGCCGCACACGTGGGGGAGAAAGTTTGCCATCCAGTCGTCGTTGTTAAAGTCAACGGAGTCAAATGCCGCGCATTGCTAGATACTGGCGCTACTGGAACCCTACATTTCAGCTTTGTTGGTGGATCTTTTGAAAGCTAAACCAGCTCTGACCCTTACGCGCGGTATCAAGACGATCATGGGCCTGGTTACCAAGCGCATTGAGACTTATGATGCTAACATCAGTGACACTCAAGGAAGGTTTTCGCTGCCAGTCTGCGCTACGAAGATTGAACAACGAGAACTTTTATCGCTAGAGAACCCTAACTATCCAGAAATGCTGAAACTTTATTCACATCTTAAGGGAGTGCAAATGGAAGAAACTGACACTAAGAAAATTGTCCCCATCCATGTTATACTTGGCGCTAATGAGTACACAATAATCAAGATGGCTGGTTATCAACGTGTAGGAGAAATTGGAGAGCCCATTGCTGAAGAAACCAGGTTCGGCTGGACAATAATGTTTTCTGGTGCTGAGGTGGATATTGAAAACATGTTCCTCACACAGACATCAGCCGCCGACTATGAAGAATTGTGCCGCTTGGATGTCCCTGGGTTGGAAAACACGCCCATTGGTGACCAGAGAGTCGTGCACCAGGAGTTCCATGAACAACTAAAACGCAGTCCAGAGGGGTGGTACGAAACAGCTCTCCCATGGAAAGGAAACCATCCCCCCTTGCCAGACAATAAGTTGGGTAGCCTCAAACGCCTTGCAACCCTTTTACTTCGACTTAAACGAAACGGCAGGTTAGAAGAGTATGACGCCATAATCCGTGAGCAGCTTGAAGAGGGGGTTGTAGAGGAAGTAGAAATTCCCGCTAAAGGAAAAGAATTTTTTATTCCCCATAAGGCTGTAATTAGAGAGAATGCAGCAACCACGAAGATGCGTATTGTTTACGATGCCTCTGCTAGAGCCAAGGATATAGCTCCTTCCCTTAACGAGTGTCTAGAGACAGGACCGCCCTTACAAAACCAGATTTGGAGAGTGCTGGTCCGTGGAAGATTTCATGCAGTAGCAATAGCAGGAGACATTAGAAAGGCGTTTCTTCAAGTGCGCATCCGTGAAGAAGACAGAGACGCCTTGAGATTTCATTGGATTGACAGAGAGAATCCCGAGAAAGTACGTACGCTGCGTTTTACGCGTGCCTTGTTTGGTCTGGGCCCATCACCCTTTCTTCTTGGGGGCGTCATTCAGCACCACCTCGAAATTTGTAAGCCGGATTATCCTGAGACAGTACCAGAGACTGAGAGGGGATTGTACGTGGATGACCTACTGACAGGCGGTCCTACAGTTGAAAAGGCGCAACAAGTTAAGAAGACTGCAACAGTAATATTTGCAAAGGCCACCTTCACTTTACACAAATGGAACTCAAACGCTAGAGAGCTAGAATTAACCGAAGTAACTGACAGTGCAGTTGGGCTTACTTACGCTAAAGAACAGCTAGGAGAGAAACCAGGCGCGTGCGGCCTTCTGGGATTGCGATGGAATAAAGAAGATGACAAAATAGCTGTAACCTTCCCTACAGAGATTGCTGACCCTACCAAAAGACGTGTACTTTGCAAAATTGCGAAGATCTACGACCCCATCGGTCTTGCTGCGCCTGTAACCCTACAAGGAAAGATTGTTTATCGCGATATATGCAAGGAAAAGACCGCGTGGGACGCAGAGATTCCATTACAAATCGCAAAGAAGTGGAGCAAGTGGGAAAATAACCTGCCTGATCAAGTTGAAGTGCCCAGGTCCTTAGCTGTAGCCGAAGAAGAAATCCGTGAAGTTACTCTTCATGCCTTTGGCGATGCAAGTGGACAGGGATTAGCAGCAGCTGTTTATGCTGTGGTCCAGCAACATTCAGTGATGACGCAGGGACTCGTCGCAGCGAAGGGACGCCTCGCCAAAGAAGGTCCCACTATCCCCAGACTTGAGTTAGTGGCTGGTCATATGGCGGCTTACTTGCTAACTAATGTACGAGATGCGCTGATGGGGTTTCCAGTTAAGTCCTTGTACGCATGGCTAGACAGTAGTGTCGCCCTACACTGGATAATGGGCTCCGGGGAATATAAGCAGTTTGTCAGCAACCGCGTCCGCAAGATCAGAGAGAAAACTGAAATCACATGGAGGCATGTACCGAGCCAAGAAAACCCTTCAGACTTAGCAAGTAGAGGAGGACTAATAAAGGAAGATAACTCGTTGTGGTGGAATGGTCCGACATGGTTGAAGGAACAAGACAGCTGGCCGCCGGACATCATAACGGTTGCAAGCCCAGAATCTAACGCAGAAGCGAAAGCCTCCAAGTAGATTTTTGCCTTAGCAGTAAAAAGCAACGATGGTATAGACGAACTGTTACTAAGATCATCCCTTTGGCGCACATTGAGAGTGGGGGCGTGGGCCGTACGATTCCTGCGCAACAGCAAATCCCCAAGAAATCAGAGAATCAAAGGTCCATTGACTACCGAGGAAATTAACAAGCAGAGGTTGTTCTGGGAGAAGAAGACTCAAAAACAGTGGAAGGGATCTGATCAATTCCAGGAAGACCAGTTAAGACTTAACCTGCAGCCAAACCGAAAGGAGGTTCTCGAGTGCCGTAGAAGAATCCAGGGAAACTATCCTGTCTATCTCCCTGATACTGCTCTCTACACCCTGAAGTTCGTACAACACGCTCATGAGATTACTCTTCATGGGGGAGTAGGACTAACCATGGCCAAAGTGCGAGAGTCTCATTGGATACCAAGGTTGAGCAAGCTTGTTAAACGAGTAATCAAGCAATGTTACGGATGCAAACGGTTTCAGATCGCTGCGTTCGCCAATCCACCTCAAGGAAATTTACCTCGTGACCGCACTGAAGGAAATTCACCATTTCAAGTAGTTGGTGTTGACTACGCCGGTCCCATCAAGTACCGCACAAGCAAAAACAGAGAAGGGAAAGCCTATATTGTCCTGTAAGCCTGTAGCCTGACACGAGCACTTTACCTAGAGCTTACCAAAACCTTGGAGACTAACGAGTTCATCAGCAACCTTAAGCGCCTGATCGCCAGAAAGGGCCGTCCAGAGAAAATCTATTCCGATAACGGTAAATCGTTCGTGGCAACAGCGAACTGGCTGAGAAACGTGATGAAAGATGAGCGCCTGCATAACTTCCTAGCCAAAGTCGACGTCAAGTGGCAGTTCAACCTGTCCAGAGCACCCTGGTGGGGAGGTCAATTTGAGAGGATGGTTGGTCTTTTCAAAAGAGCCTTTAACAAGACAGTGGGAAACGGTATGCTTACCTGGAGCGAGCTACAGGATGTTCTTCTGGACGTTGAAGTTACCATGAATAACCGCCCGCTGAGCTACGTTGAAGAGGACATTCAATTACCCATATTGACCCCCAACCTGTTGCAGTCTGGCCGCCCGAATCTATTGCCTGAAACACAGAGCCATCAGTTGGAGAACCAAGACCTGAGAAAGCGTGCACGGTACCTGAAGAAATGTAAAGACGTACTATGGGGGAGGTGGTCTTCAGAATACCTACGAGGCTTGCCTGAGCAGCACAATTTAAAGCACAAAGGAAGTAAGGTGGCCCTAGCTAAGGGAGATGTTGTCATCATTAAAGGCGAAGAAAAGAATCGTGGATTGTGGAAGCTAGGAATAGTCGAAGAGCTGATTACTGGACGAGACGGAGTTGTCAGAGGGGCTAAACTGCGAGCGGGAAGATCTTATCTGGAGAGACCTGTCCAACACCTTTATCCAATGGAGCTGTCCTGTGACAGGACAACAGCTACGCCGAGAGCCACCTTCAGCGCTGAAGCACCAGTCTTCAGGCCGTCAAGAGACGCTGCTGTGGCAGCACGTGCCAGGATAAAAGACGCTGCCGAACTTACTGATGATGACTACTGATCTTTGAACATTTCTATTAGAGACATTGCAACTATGATTAGAAAAATCGAATAGTCATCACTATTCGCGATGAACAGGGGGGAGTGTTATGAAGCAAGAGTGTAGCGTGATTGTGAGATGGCGTGATTTTATTCCTTTGATTTTGTTATTAATAGTTTCACTCGTCTGTCAGAGCGACAGAGAACTTGATGACAGATCGCATTAAAATCTAAAGCTTATAGATTCAAGAAAGTCACGATTTTGTGTAGTGTGTGAGCGAGCCATTGTACTGTGAGGATCGAAGCTGTGAAATAAACCCTGTTTTGCTTTGATATCGTGAAGAACGGCCCTTCGGCATTCACGACATACGGACGTATACAGCTATTTGAAAAAGCTGTCGAAAAAAAATGTGCACGCGACAAGGTAATATGGGATATGATCAATACACTGTTCCTGACGACTGTAGCTGTCGAACCTACTTTTGTTGCTCTGCTTTCGCACTCGCAAACATACGTCCATGGCCTCTCGTGGCATTCTTTCTAATTTCTTTGATGAACAGTGAACTCAAAACCACCCACAATACCTTTCGGGATTGTCACGTGCACTTTTTTCGACAAGCTTCTTCGAAATAGCTGTTTACGAATGCAGAAGTAGCCGACTCTCTTCACAGTATTCACAACTCATTAGCTATCAGCATGTAAATCTTAATTATCTATGAACTAGTTACACAAAAAGGGCGTAAAATTATACGCCCAAAGTAGACAAAATTAAAATTAAGAGGTTAAAAAATGTGCACCGCTGTGGTGAATAAATTATTGGCAAAGGCCTCGAAATTTACCCTAAATATGTATTTGTTTTATTGATATGCTGATTGAGACCTTTTGCTTAACGGATGAACCAATTATTTCAGTTGTATTGTCTATCTGGCTGGAAAGGTGCTCTTCAGGTTACGTTTCATACTACTTGCCCTTTCCAGAGTTTATTTAATCTATTTATTTAATCCATTTTTACCAAAGTTCTATTTTACAAGATTGATTTTTAATGAAATTATACCGACACGAGCCCTTTAAGAGTTTTGTATCAAAACGCACTGGAAACCTGTGTGTTTATGGATGTTTACACGAGAACGATTTCTATCCGTTTACAAACGTATCCCCAAAACGAGACCGTTTACGAAAATATCCGTAACTGATCATCCTGGCACGTGAATAGAAAGCGTCAGAAATGCGTGAGTTTATGTGGGTTGCCAAACGGAGCAAGTCAGCTCCAACTATGTATTGAAGTGTTTCAACTGAGAGCTTATTCAAGTACCTCAGAACATCTCTCTTCAACCAGATCTATTTTTTCAATGAGCCAGGGGATTTCCTTTTGGTATCGTTTACTGATGTGTAACTTGCTGAATTAGCTAATCACTAGGCTTTTTTTAATTGTTATTTTCGAGAGAGGGAAATAAAGGCCTAACAGTCGCAGAATCAACAGGGATCGTTGTTTTTGTCCTCAAACAGCCCTACTACTGCGGCAGGGGGGCAGGATCAGCTGCCAATTAACCACGACCTATGCTAAGCGGGCTAACTCCATTAAAACTGAATTAATCGTACCGAGATTGAGTTTACAAACCAACTCTACTTACCAAATCAACAAGCTGACTGAATGCCATGTCAAAGGTTACGACCACAGCTTTTGAGCGGTTATTTGTTGGGAGTATTTGCCTTTTTTTGAGGTAGTTTTTCATAAGATGATTAATGAGCCTTGATTCTGCATCGTTGCGATTTTCCTGAGCTGGAACAGCGAAAAATAAAAACAGACAGATGTCATTCTTTGGTAAAACAAGAGACTGTCAACGATTTTCAGTACTGAAGTATTGTAAACCGCTGATCAACTGTAATCAAACATTTCAGCGATGACACGTGGGAATTAGATGAACTAGATTAAATACATGAAAAGAAGAAAAAAACTTGCCTGCTGATTCAAATGTCTTCCATGGCTAATTATCGGTAAAGAGCGCAGACTGTTTTTTGAATGCCTTTTAGCAAAAAAATTCACGAGGGTCCTAATTTTTCGATTTCTGCAGGGTCTTTTTCACGAGCTGTAAGGAAAGCTGTGAAGTAGCCGAAATACCGGTGTGATAAGACCGGAAAATATTACCGGAGCCATCAGCCAAATCAGGGCAAAATGTAATAGTGATATGGTGACCCCGATTAACGTGTTTATATCTCTGCTTGTTTTTTGGAGCTTTCAAGCTTGTTCTTTTATCTACAACATACCAAAAATCGCCGATCCGCAAAATGGAACTCCGTTAATTGAATACTAAAAAAGATAATGTGTAACTGTCAAAATAAAACTTCATTACTGCCTTGCTACTTCAAGAAAATCAGTCACAGAAAAATACAAATTTCGTTTTGTAAAATCCTAAGAAGTAAACGATACTCTACAAAAGTTCTCCCAACGAGGTTTCATTTGAATGGTATATAACACCATAGGATCTCGTCACAGATTTAAAAGTTAGTGCAAAACTATAATCTTCCCATAACGGAAGGAAAGGGTTAAAGAGACCTAAAATCTGCCATATTCGACTACATGCGATGGCAAAAAAATAAAACCACCTTAAATCTCATAACAACATGATGACAAATTACTCCATTTTCCATACCTACGTAAACATCGCTCAGCGTGAGAAGAGTTCCGACTAAAAACGCAGTAATTGCTACAAATCCGCTAATTTTCTGACCACCCGCACACTTGAAAAGCCTGCCTTACGATGACGCTGATAACGTGAAGTAGACTTGTGCTAAAACCCACCAAATCTTGACCCGTGGGATGTACAAAGGTGTAACGCATAAACCGACTGGCAAACAAGCTTATCAAGGAAAAGAGTTTACATCTGCTTTTGCGACAATCGATCGCGTAAACGAATAAGATCCCTTCAAACACAAATAACTGATATTGTTTGAGTTAATTAAGTAAGTCATTGTCGTACATGTGAAGATCGATAACCATCTTTGAAATTTTAAACCTTCTTCAACGGGATTCGAACCCGTGACCTCCGCGTTACCGGTGCCGTGCTCTACCAACTGAGCTATGAAGTCACACATTTGGAGCGAGGTCAATTTATTGAGTTCATATCTCCCGTGAGGAGTGAAATGATGTGAAGTATATATGAAATAATTCATTTTTGAACTGCGGTTGTAGATGAAAGTGAAGAATGATCATCGCAGTAAATTTTCCAATTTAAGCAGTTGGAAAGAAGAAGCCTGAAAAAATCAGGCCTTCAACGGCATTCGAACCCGTGACCTCTGTGTTACCGGTGCGTTGCTCTACCAACTGAGCTATGAAGCCACACATTGAGAGCGAGGTCAATTTATTGAGTTCATATCTCCCGTGAGGAGTGAAATGATGTGAAGTATATATGAAATAATTCATTTTTGAACTGCGGTTGTAGATGAAAGTGAAGAATGATCATCGCAGTAAATTTTCCAATTTAAGCAATTGGGAGAGACGAACTCAATTAATTGGCCTCGCTCCCAATGTGTAGCTTCATAGCTCAGTTGGTAGAGCAACGCACCGGTAACGCGGAGGTCACGGGTTCGAATCCCGTTGAAGCCCTGATTTTTTCAGGCTTCTTCTTTCCAATTGCTTACATTGGAAAATTTACTGCGATGATCATTCTTTACTTTCAAACACATTTAACATTGGGAATTGCGCATTGTCTGGTTGAGAGTGTCATTTTAGAAACAAAAGCGCAAATTTGGTTTCATTTTCCCCTGCTTTTTTCGCTTTTCAAATTAATAAACAGAAAAACAAGCATATATGAAGTCCGACAGCGATTCGATCGGATGGCATTTGTGTCCCTCTTACGGAGTTGTCTAATTTAAAATTTGACTTTACTTTTACGACTTAAATGAAAAAGACTTTTATGAAGTTATGTTTAATATAATTCAGAAAAGGTTGATTATACTTTATGCGGGTGGTCGCAATGTTCTTTAAAAAAAAAAAGAGCTCCTTAGTTACTTGCTTTATTGCGCAATTGTGCAAAATTGACGTATTTTGCCCATTTAACACTTTCTGTCGCTCTTTAAAGTAAAATATTCAAAACAAAAAAAGCTAATTAAGGGAATTTTTGGTGTTTTATTTTTGTTTGATAACCAAGCGAATTTACGAATTAAGAACAATCTTGTTTATTGGGCACCTATCGAGTGACATTGTAAACTGTCGGCCAAGGATCAATATCTTGACGATGTTCAGTGTGTTAACAACGCAAAATTCGTTCCGGGTTCTCTTTTCGTGAGTAGCCGAAATACCAAAAGGATCTTCTATAGCAAGCTAAAGTAAAGCGGAGACGTCATGATCAGCCAAGTCTGTAAGTAACACATTTGAATATTTAAACGGTTTAGTAGCCTTACGACAATTTAATTTCAATGGTACCGACACTTTCTACTTTTAAGCCAACTCTTGGCACATTTAATACCTTCTTCTTGATTCAAATTATTACAAACAATTAGTTATAAAAAAATGATTCAGCTTGGTGATATTTATGATCCAAAACAAATCACATTATAAATTTAAAAAATAAAAAAATAAAAATATCTAACTTTCTATCACCCTGGAGGGTTCTACAACTTGGTCTTGCGTAATGCGAGAACTAAACCAAAAGAAACTTTTAATTATCTACTACTATCCCAAAATATTTGGTTTACAATTGGTTTCGTTGATGCATTCAAGGGTTGCGCCGCTTACGAATTTTCTTTTCACGTAATTTAACGGAAAATTTAGCTGTTCGTGCTGAGCTGGTTTTTCTTGTGTAAGTTAATATAATTTGCAAAGATGGCAATATTCAGATGTTACCTTCACTAATTTAGACTCTGGAGACACCGTGTGTAAATCAATTTACCTCATATCTTGGTGACGCAGTGGTTTACATTGTGGGACTCAAATATGGCCAGAAACATATATTTGAATAAAAGAAACAAGTCAGAATGCCCACTGGCCGGAAACAAACCAGTTGGCTTTTTACAAGAATGTTCAAGGAGTTGAACGAAGGACTCCAGCTAGTGGCTGTGGAAATTGAACTCGGGGCTACCGAGTTGAAAGCAAGCGTTCTAAACCACTACAATGCCAGCCGCCCAGTTTCAATCTGAATAACAAGTAATTCACCATATATTAACAATTTTTGAAGGAGGCTGAGCATTACATGAATAATTACGCAGATCGAGGAGGGTGTTATCCACCGATTGTATATTGGGGCAATATACCATCATATCGATAGAATATTGCTTGTATCTTCTAAAGTTCTTCAACGCCAGCTGGGTATGAAGAATTAGCTGAGGAGCCGAGCGGAAATGGTGAAATAGTGAGTACACTCAGTGTGATGAGATTACTCAACGAATTTTTCCTTCATAATTTTCTATTGACAATTTATTTTTTATTTGAATCATATGTAAGGGCACGAGCCGTGCTCGAGTGTGTTGATGTAATATATAGATTTAGCCAGGGCTAAAAGCGAAGTTCCTATTAACATGTGGCTTTCCATGATCGCCCCAGTTAGGAAATCTGTCAATCATTCGAAAACTGTAGTGAGCATGCGCGAAACGGGCTGGGAACAACAACAAGAAGTTCGTCTTCGCAGCCGATTCGACAGTGTGAAATGAGTTCGTTTTTGGTCCCGTTGGTCATTGCTTTCTTTGCTGTAACCAATTTTTGTCCGCGGTAATATGGAGCTTAGGTTTTCCTTTCTTCTGGTCTTGCGTTTGTCATTACATGCGGTTTACTACGCTAAGAACGAGACCAGTGAACATTGATCGAAAACGTACATTGTTCCTCGATGCCGGACCTTTTGACTCACTTCATCTCTCTAGATGCAGGCTCTCAAGCTGTGTTTCTGTTTAGAAGACCCACACGACTAAAGAAAGGGCCAACCCTTCAATACGTATGTAGAAGAGTTTATATTTTCAATTGAAGGGCCCAAAATTAATTCACAGGGATGTTAAAAAAAGGGCGGTGGCTGTGGTCGAAAGAGTTATTTACGGTTTTACTACACCTTTAAGACGACAAGAAATGATTGATTGAGAGTCTTAATTCTTTATCCTTGATTGTGAACTTATCCTGGAAGAGTTGCGTTGGATGATTGAGTGGCATGGTCAAATCTCGTAGTCCATGTATTTCTTTATGTACTAAAAGCTAAATAAATTTTGCCAAGAGATCACTAAGAAACTATCCCTTCTTCTGAGTTTCTACTTTCATGTGATATTAGAGCACCTTAAAACCTTCATACAAACAAATTTTCGGTTCAAAAGGGTTCTTTGTTTTGCGATGCAGGATGCTTGAATTTCCAGGCTTTTGCGTGACGCGTCATTTAGCTGGCGGCCGGGAAAGCTCTTATGTGGGTTAAAAACATTACGGATTTTTGGAGATTTTGCTATCTAAACATTCCTTGTCTTAGAATAAATATTACTTTAATCTTTATGAGTTCCTCAAGCGAAGGATTCACGCATAAGTAGGAGAACTCAAAAACAGATGTTTCTGTTGGTTTCCGGCGGCCATATTTGTGCCCCTGAAAGGGACANCTCGTAGTCCATGTATTTCTTTATGTACTAAAAGCTAAATAAATTTTGCCAAGAGATCACTAAGAAACTATCCCTTCTTCTGAGTTTCTACTTTCATGTGATATTAGAGCACCTTAAAACCTTCATACAAACAAATTTTCGGTTCAAAAGGGTTCTTTGTTTTGCGATGCAGGATGCTTGAATTTCCAGGCTTTTGCGTGACGCGTCATTTAGCTGGCGG